AAGAGAATGGCTCACTGTCGACGGCGATACCTGTTCTGGACTGAAAATTTACCAGGTTCAGCTCTAGAACTTGTCTAACCCTTTCCATCAAGCGAACATCTCTAGCAAATAGTAAAAATCCTTAATATCCATTGACATTACCGTACACTGTCTTCCATGAAAGTCTTCTTGGTCATCGATTCGTCCCTCTGAATTTCTCAGTGAAAGGCTCCCTTCTAGCTGGATTAAGTTCAACCCTTTTTGTAAAAAAGAGGTCAGAAACGGAAGTTCTACATAAAGAGCGAGATGTTATCAAGAGGGCCGTTGAAGAAACGATGAGAATAAAATCAATAGGAAACTTCATAAGCCAAGCATCAACGCAACTTGGAAGCAACTGCAAAAAGTTTTCTGAGCCTATAAGCGAACACGTTGATTCGATAGGAAAGGGAAGGGAAAGGAAAATAGACAAAGGGGGATTAGGGGGACAATATTAATACCCTCATACAGACGGCCTTTATGGGTATTTTGAATAAATAAATAAATATGCAGTTAGGGTTCATCGCCGCGGTTTAGAGGTCACCAAGATGTGTTTCAACGAAATAATTCTTCTCTCGTTTTTTTTTCTTCTAAAAGTACGTGTGGTTTTGGTGCTACTGTTTAGGATAGTTCTGCACTTTTATTTCAAGGTCACTGCGATGCCCTGCAGTGTCCTCGTTTTATGTGTGCTGTCGTCGACAATTTTATCAAGGTCACTGATATGTCCCGAGGTGTGCTACAGATAAGAGCCTCTTTTGTCTGTGCGTGCGCTTGATCTTTTTGTGGGGATGAGGACGATTCGTCACATGAGCACTCGTCACAGGGCGATTGGTCACAGGACGATTCGTCACATAGGAACATTCGTCACAGGATGACTCGTCATGCGGGCAACTGGTCACATCGATCGGGCAGGGGACGATAGTAAATTGTAAATTTCAACAACCGCCCACATTGCCTGATGAGTTTCACGACTTCCCACTGTCACATAAACCAATAGTTAGAAAAGGGTAGCGGACATTTCATCGAACGCCATTTCATCGAACGCCGTTTCATCGAATGAATGGACATTTCATCGAACGCCATTTCATCGAATGCCGTTTCATCGAATCGCTAAGGGCCGTTTCATCGAATTTCTCTGTATCGAATTTCTGGGCATTACAGTGCTTTATAGATCTTTTACCTTACATTTGTTAAAACTAAGGTAGCCACTTGTGAAACTGTTATTAGGGTGGAGCCAAATTGCTAGAAATAAAAACCATTGATATAAAAACAAATGGGTATGCGACTTACTGAGAAGTTTTACTCATGTACCTGTCAGAAAACATGAGACTGGAGGTAAAGGACCGACACTTAAAACACTTTTGAATGTCTGTGTCGTTTTTTTTTACCGGCTGTCCGGGGGTTTCGGTAATGTGCAATTCACACCTGCTCGTTTGCACACTTATGCTTAGTTGAAGGTTTATTCACGAAAAGCATTTAACTGCCAGAGCAGCACGCTTATAATAAAACGATACCCTGCCAGGAAAGCACACGAAATAAAATGTAATGATACTCTGATTATCAGCTTTATGCTCAGATTGAACGTTTCTGCTTTTTTTTTTTAGTTCTTAGTTTTTAAACTCTACAGAGTCAAAAGCTGCACAAAGTGTCAGTCAACATGGTTTCGGGCTACACCTGGAGTGGAACCACCTCCCCTTCACTGTCAACTTTATTACCGACCCTTTTGCCTATGAATCATCTTCAGGACGCTTTCTTAGGAAGGCCGACCCGCACCAGAAAATAGTAAAGCCCTGGGTGTACTAGCTGTCACCCAAGAAGACAGAACCCTTTGGGATCCTCACATAACCCAAGGTTACAGGTACGCGCTGTCAGATAATAAAACACTACCCGCTTCCCAAAAAGCACATCGTGCTTTCTGTTGTTTTTTTTTTTTTGTCTCATTTTGAATTGTTTCATGTGACATTGAGAGGGGTCATTGTTTCATGGAGGCTTTCTTCTCGAAGCAGGACATGTTCACGATGGAACTTATCTCGTCACTGCATACTGTGATTTAAAAAAAAAGAATTAGATGACGTTGTGTATAAAAATCAAAATAAATTGCAAAAATATTGCAGGCTGTAACGGCGTTCGATGAAAAGGCGTTCGATGAAACGGCTTCGATGAAACGGCGTTCGATAAAACGGCGTTCGATGAAACGGTGTTCGATGAGACGGTTTCGATGAAACGGCGTTCGATGAAACGGTGTTCGACGAAATGTCCGGACCCAGTTAGAAAAACTAATCTTACAATGCTCATCCGCTTTTCCTTTCATCATATTGCGACTCTTCAGCAGGTTGATCTAAGTTGCTGGCTTGAACGAGCAATAATCCGACTGGCAGCCAAATCAGTTTTACTTTGCCTTGCATACAACTCTTCGGGAAAACCAATAAGTATCGGAATTCTTTCTGCTGCATGTGTACGAGCACCCCGCGTGCAGCTGCATGGCTCCACCTCTCTCTCTTGCGATCACCTCCATCCTTTTGAAAGTAGCCTGAGCTCAGGATTAGTCGCTTTTTTATGGCCTCCCCATTCACCCTTCGGGACGGGCCTAGAAGCAAAAACGTCTGTTACAAATTCTTCTACCTTGAGAAGCGAAAGACATGCTAAGATAAGAGGTGACCCACTTTGTCAGGCCGAACCAACGTTCAATGTTCGGGACCAAACCAGAAGCTAAAACGTTTGTTACAAATTCTTCGCATTTCAGAAGCTAAGGACATACTAAGATATGAGGTGAGCCACATCGTCCACCCGAACCAAATTGAACAATACATTTTTTGGGGGACGAACTATTGTAGGACCAGTTGGCCGCGTGACGAGTCATCCTATGACGAATGTTCCTGTGTGACGAATCGTCCTGTGACCAATCGTCCTGTGACGAGTGCGCATGTGACGAATGAACCGTATCCCCTTTTTGTGTGTCATGTATGTTCTGTCCATTCGGAACTGTTTTCAACAATGGGGATTTTTGCGTGGAGTGTGGTCTGGAAGGGCTTCGTGGGTATATATAGAATGATCGAGAAATAAACCAGTTTGCTGAGTTTGAGACGTACAGTCGCCGGCCATATGAGCTCCCCCGGCCGAACGCCGACCGGATCAGCGAAAATCCCACACGCGGCGCTTCGAGCGTTGCCGCGTTTTGGGAACCGGGCTATTGGGACCGAACCATTCCGTTATCAAAGGGGTGGACGCATAGCTTTTATCGGGATTTCAGCCTTTAGAAGTGTGAATCACGAAAACATGGCCGATTAGAATCGCCGTTTTCGGGTATTGGCACCAAGTGTTCGGAGATGACGGTATAACTACTGATAAACTGGAGCTTGCTTTAGGCGCAGATAAAGCAGCGCTGCTCGATCGATGCTTACAAATGTAAAGACCCTATGTTTGATATGATATTAGGCATGACAACAATGATCCCTCGGCAAGCGAGAAGTGGCTGACCAGGAAGCCATCTGCAAAGTCATCGTGTAGATAATTACCCTTGGCGAAGCAACACGCTACTGAGCGCAGAACAATAAAGTCTCTTCGATAAAACGCGTTCATGAAAAGTGCCTGAATCTTTATTCTGCTTCGACACAAATCTTTTTCTTTTTGTTATTTATATCATATCCCTATAGATTAAATAAATTATTTCAAAATCGCTTGTCATTGTCTAGTCTAGATTTAAGAAAGATTGTAAGAAAGTTTGTGCGTAGGATTACTCTTCGGGTAGGAAATATTTAAATGACAAACCGGTTTTGCAAATAAAAAAAGTAGCATATAACATGTCAGAGATATTATGCAGCGAAGAATTGCGATAAGCCGTCTGCGTTTACCTACAACCGGAGGCGGAATTGTAATCGGTCCCATGCTTCAGATTCACGTTCCAAAACACGGAATGCTATTAAACTTCCTGCGTCCAACCCTTTGATAACTGAATGGTTTGGTCCCAATAGCCCGGCTCCCAGAACACGGCAACGCTCGACGCGCCGCATGCGGGATTTTCGCTGCTCCGGTCGGCGTTCTGCCGGGGGAGCTCATATGGCCGGCGACTGTACCTTTCTGTGTCTGTTTCTTCTAGTAAAAAGTTTCCAATTTCTTCCACCACAGTCTCAGGTGGTATATGACACGATATTTACAAGAGCCTAAATTGATGCGAATATCCCCAGTAAAGGCCTTGTAACCTATCGTCTGCTAAGCTCTTATCATTTTCGAATCACGAACAACTCCACATTGACTCTTGGCAACCCTTGTCTCACTGAGCCCCATCGCAGTTTACGCCCAAAATAGTCGCAACCCTCGGCCCTCAGTCACAAAATATTTATATAAAAAAAATATTTGTATTCTAACGCTGTTGGTATTTGAGCCCCGAATATTAACTGTCATTTCCGCAAGAACCCGACACAAGTTTCACCCTCGAGAAAAACCTACTGCGTTAAGAAATTGAAGTTTTTCCCGTTTCTCCCATACAGTCTCATCCATGCTTTAGCTGGTGTCAAGCTAGGCTGCCGGTAATGCCGGTCTACCCCAGCAGACAAGCACCGATCCGCTATCTAGCCTACTGCAATAGAGATCAGTGGTCGAGACAGCGGAGACAGCCGCTTGTAGATGCACTGTGTAATGCAAATAAGCGCAGTGAATTATAGCTTCTATACTCGTCTTCACATAAAAAAAAAGGAAGTTTTCCGCATTATTCATGCGCTGTGCGAAGTAGTTCGTACAAGATTTGGTTGTCGGAGGTGGAAGCGATTCTTTTGGCGTATGAAACATGTACATCTTGATAAGATAACAGTTACCTTATCTAAAATGCAGCAACATATAGCTTAGTTATCCACATAAAAGGGGAAATTAGTAATGTTCCGCGACTAGCCGGAATTTTTTTACTACGGTTCTTGAGGTGAAAACAAGTATAGTGGCGTATTTTGTGAGGCATTGGTGAATGCTTGAATTTATATACAGTACTTTTCCAGGTTTCACATGACATCTGCAGCCTCGAGCTGACGTTCCTTGACTTCGACATTGAAAAAAATCAGGAATGCTCGGCAGACTTTCTAGAACTCGATGGTGAACGCGTCTGCGGGTCCCTTCCTCCCGACTCAAAAAGTAGGTAAAGCCTTATTTGCCTTTCATTTTGGAGGGAACGTTACCTTACATCCCTATTTATGATTATCTCGCTGGCTATCCCCAGCACGCTAAGCTACCTGAATAGCTCTGTGAAAGACACGCACATATCGACGAATCTGGAGAGTAATTTTTTGATCGACTTTCGGAGTTTTATGTTTGAGTCGTCGTGTGGTATCAGCATTGGCTACATCTGCATGGCGTATCCATACCTTTGTAAACTCGTCCGTTGACCAACTTCTGACGTCGATTTAACTGGGACCGCTAAGAAAGCACTGATGGTGTCATCGGCGCACCGTGCGGGCGTGATTTACCCAAGGCTGCATAACATACTGCCCCGCAGCTGGTTTTTCTCTTGCCTTCGGTTCCACTTAAATGTCAAATAACTAACACAAAACGTTTTCAACACAAATTTACTAAGAAGCTAGAACTATATTGATTTAGGAAGATATCCACTTTTTCTGTGACACCATTAAGTGGTTCGAGGACATTTACCGCATATCCTAAAAATAGCTTTATCCCGTTTGCGTCCATCACGCACTTAAATATGTTCTATATGTGTGTTTTCTTTGATTTAAAAAGAACAGCGCAAGATTTTACTTGATCTGCTGCAGGCAATACTAAATACAACCATTGCTAAATTATCCATGTACCAAGGAGCATGCTGCGAGTGTAGTTACGTACGATGCACGTTCTGACATCTGTATCACTATGTGTTCTAAAGCAGAAGCCTAAAAGATATCACATCTTGCACGCCCTTTCGTCAACGCCTTATTTTGGGTACTTATTGGGAATAGTTTATGCGCGGAAGACGATCGCATGCGGCGGGTGTAGATACACATTCCCAGCATTCTCCTCGTTGCTTGGGTAATTTAGAGATAGATCTATTGACTTCCCCCTGAAATGGAAGGCAGCTCGCACACTCTACGCTCTAAGTGGCTCAAGGCCGCTGAAAAGCTTGGTCCGGGTGACTTATTGGGCTATCCAGGTAAAATAAAACCATGGGGCGGATCTCGGGCCATGATTGATTGATTTAAACGTCCCGCTCGTTTGAGAGCAGTAGGCAAGCGTGACCAGTCGTGCCTGTAGTTTGAAATAAGGTGGCTGGTGACAAAAAAACTGAGCAGTGAACTCCGTGTCACGTGGTGTAGCAAAATGCGGAAAAATGACGTCAAGGCCACGTAACTCGACCGCGGCGGATCACGCAGGACGGAGGCGACACAATGGCTGGCGATCTTACGCGGACCGTTTTAGTGGATCACAGCGTGCGCGCTAAAAGCGACGGCTCATTACAATAATCGTTCGGGGAAGCACACAAGCAGATGCTCGGTTCCGATAGGGACGCGTAAGCAAATTTTTGAACCTGCATCCGTGCACGCGCGAAACTCTGGAGGCAGTTCACCTAAGAATGTGAGGCAAGCTCCGCTCTCTTCCGCATAAGGAGATACTGAGCCAAATATTTTAGTGTCCACAATAAGTGGCGCATGATCTTTTCACGAGCCAGCAGCCGCCGGTGAGTGCGAGCACACGCACACCCAAAAAAATTATATTATAGTTTTCTATTTATAACAGTGAAACCTGTGGCTTCTGTGGCAAAGCATGATGAAGATAGGTTTTTCATCCCCAGGAAGTGAAAACTATGTGCTTGTTAGACCAATTATTTAATCGCCTGCGCTTTATACCAGAGCCCACTGTGGAGATGAAAAGCCTGTATTTTCTGGGTATGAAAATACAGCGCAAACAAAACTACGGACCAGTACAAGAGTATACACACAGACAAGGCGCTGTATTTCAACTGAAATTTAATTTAAAAAAAAAAAATGAAGGCCGCGAAAAAACCCGAACAATCCACCACATCCACGTCACCAGACACCACGTTCCCATTGGCCGAGATATTCTATCTCTTTTTGATATAGAGTCACAGAGGGGGCGCTGACACACGTGCCCTTTCTACATCGTGATATATAAAATGCCTCCGTTATTTCCCTCGTCCTTTTGATGTTGTGTCGAATCATCGTTGTTGTCTCTTCACACTTTGGGTCGCACCCACGCCTCTCGCACTGATTCGCCAAATGACCGGCAGGGGACGATCTCACATATAATGCATGCTGCCTTAGTCTATCGTTGACGCATCTACCAGACTGTTCGATATACTGCTTACCACACAATAGCCGTATACGATAGCGGTATACTGTGGGTATACTCTTTTACTGGTCCGTCGTTTTGTTTGCGCTGCGTTTTCGTTCCGATGCGTCACCAACTCGCCCAGATTCGCTTCTACTGCCTTTTCTCCTTTTCCGCGGAGCCCACATGTTTCACTTTCATGTTGAGCGGGAATGGAGAACCATTACGTCAATTTCATTGCGTGTGCTCGAGCACACCGGCGGCTTGTGGAAACATCGTGCGCCACGTATTATTGACGCTGGAATGTTTGGTTCAGCATCCCTTTAACCCAAGGGAACACGTAGAGTCAGATATGAAGCCTCCGTCTCGCGTCTGGGTGCCAAAGGCCACGGCACGCCTTTGTGACGTCCATGAAATAAGGCAAATCAGGAGCCCCGGGTTTGCCTTATGGTTTTACACTGTGACGAAATCCCAATACGCGTCCGGCATTCGATCCTTTGACCGGTTATATTTGGTAAAGTCAATTTATTCGCGCGTAAATATTCCGCACATTTGGTTCGTTTTCTCTAAAATCGTTATGTCATACCATTAACGTGTGATATAACCCTGCGGTGATTATTTTCGAGTCAAGTGATAACTTTTAGCGTGTGTTGTTCTACTGACAGTTATGCTTTGTTCCAGCTTAGTAAGTCTAGACGCAGACGACGCTACGAGGTCGTGGGACCAATCAAGGCGGACCAAAAGCGCAAGTCACTAAGACTTTTCTGTTTATGATTGGTTCATCGAAGACAAAACACGTACAGAAACATGATGAACACCATGATGGCTCGCTTTTGATGCCGTGTGATTGGTCCTATCAGCTCGAAGCGTCGGCTGTGGCTGTACCTACGGTAAAACGAAGCATAGCTCCAGGTTAGCTGAGCTGGAAGCGTTTTCCACTAGCCGTAAAGGTGTCCCAAGATCAGATCCCGGAAGAAAGTTTTTTTTTTATTAGTGTCCACCAGTCGCCCAGAAGGCGCGAGTAGTGCTCTGTTTTAGATGTATTCTTGCGTAAATCTTCTCCACCTTGGGGATATAAAATTAAGATATCAGATCATGAGCTGATCAGATATTCCGAAGTTTCATCTATCAAATAGGCACAATTTGTTGCACTGTCTGTGCTCTACACAAAGTGCACATTAAGAAGTTGCCTATAAAAAGATAATCATAGCAAGCGGGAATGCTACTCGCCATACGCGACAAACGGGAAATGCCTTTTCACCAAGCGATTTGCAAGAATACCACTGCTTTCACCTATAGGGCCACACAAAAGTCGCCTGTCATAAAAGGTGAAAATTGGATACGCCCGAGTCCTCTTCCTTCTAGGATAAAATCAAATCGCAGTTTGCTCTCGAGTCCTTATGCCTGATTTTGAAAGTACAGAACCATTTTATTTTATTATTTGGTAGATATTGCTTTACGCAGGGCCGGACAGTCAACATCCAAAAGCCAGGGCACGTTTTAAGGCGGCGGTCCGCGAGGTTCCAAATGAAATTCGCGTTGACCCGCGCCGTTTCAGAGCGGTTCACAGGAGCAACCTTTCAACAAGAATATTTTTTCCACGTCTTCATGCATTGTTCTGCTTTGTCATACACTATCACAAATGTCATTTTTTTTCAGAGCTAGTGCAGTTCACGTCGGCCCAGATGGTGTTCCGCTTCCGTACGGACCATTCATCCAACCGGCCCGGGTTCCACATAAAAGCGAGGCAGGTGCAATGTGGATCGAGGGTCCCGCCGGTCACTAATCTCGGTAAGAGAATTTGAATGTCGCTTACTTTGGCCATTATCGTCTTTCTCTCTAATAAAGGCCCAATGAAGGAGATGGTCACCTTTCAGTAAAGATGTGATATGCCCAATTATAATTTTGAGCGCAGTAAAACAATTCACACTGAAACATGTAGACAAAAAGGGATCAATCCTTTAGAGCTGACTATATCAAGTAATTAAACACGAGCAAGATACATAGAAAGGGGGGACGGACAACAATAAAAATGGAAGTGATTGTTGTCCGTCTCCCTTTTTATGTATCTTCCTCATGTTTAATGACTGCTACCAACACGCTCGTTTTGTACCTAACTTGACTATCAGGTGATTGTTGTATTCGGGCTCCTTCTTCTACTCCATTTTCAGATGTACCACACTTTGTTTCTTTTCTCTTTGTGGCTAGGTAAATTAACTCTTTCGCACATAAGGTTGTAGAAGGGTTGTTACACAATTTTTGACCAGCTTCAAAATGTTCTTAGCTTCAATGATTTCTCGCGTGAGCAGTTTAAAGTTTTTGCTGATAACAGTTCAGTTATGTCAAAGGGGCGATGCAACAATTTTTGTACTTTGCGCAAATACCGCTTGGAGCGAATTCCTGATGTTAAAGCCCTATGAAACGCGCGTTCGTTTTTTACCACACAAAATAGAACTCTCCGACAAAATTAAAGAATCACGAACAGCGTTCACCCGCTCAACTCACAGAAAGAACAAGCGGCCACGTAATCTGGAGCCGATTATATGCCGCCAATGATATTCACAGCCACGCGATGCGAGTTGTCAAGGTACAGGACACGCGCTGAGTTCTTACATTCGTGTGGTTCGTCTATTGTCTTCATTGCAGCGATTGGAAACGGGCCAATACCCAAATGATTCTTGAGCTATTGATTATCACGAGCCCAAATCGAATCCTCACGCAATGCTTAGGTCCAATCTATGAGCCGCATTCTTCGAGGACAGACGCTCCATGTCTGTCGTCGGAGACGGACGTGTGTTCGGGGAGCTCCGTGAAAGTGAACGGCCAACGGAGCGGTGTCGCCAGCTGAGGCGAGCCCGCTTGCACCGACCAACGAGGGATCCTACAGGATGTTACTGCCGCCTCTGCCAACGGGTGAGCACGCCTTCAACACGGCATTTCTTCACTGTGATCCGAGTGCCAGGCCCCACCGCATCGATCATTTTGAAGAGGCTCTATGGAATGCTGGGGGGAAGGAGAGTGTCACTGTCATTGGCGCTTTCCGCCGCAACCATGTATGGCTACTCACCCTCAAAAGCGCACAAGCCAAGGAAGAAATATCACGCAAGGCCACTGTAACAGTCAAAGGAAAAAAATGCGTGGTCATCAACTCAAACTGCACTGAAAAGGAAATACGATGCATTGGCAGCCACCATTCATCTCCGACGAGGAAGTTAACGAGGCTTTTGCATCGTTCAGAGAGGTGAAGGACATCACCAGGGAGAAGTGGAAAAAGGCTGGATACGCAGAATTTGAATCGACGACAAGGTGTGTGCGTCTGCGTCTACATGAGGGGGTGTCAGCCGGTGACATCCCACTTCACCTCTGTATCCTGAGCGCGGACGCTTTGGTGTCTGTGCAAGGCCGGGCGTCAAATTGCCTTCGCTGCGGGCGGTTTGGACATATGCGAAGGCAGTGCGTGACACCATGGTGTTCCAGATGCCGCTATATCGGGCACAATGCCGAGGCGTGTGTGCCCACCCATGCAAGCATGGCTCGAGTGACTGGCGCTGCGACCATGGGAACCGCTGAGCTGGGCGCCACTATGGAGGAGCTGGAGATGATCGAAGCTAGTCCCTCGACGCAGGTACTCGCTGAGAAACATTCGACCGCCGGACAAAGGCTGAAGATGGACATCGCGGAAACTCCGATAGAGAATCCGTTCTCCGTGCTGGGCGCGCTGTCGACGAGTGCCGAGGAGGAGAAATGCAGTGTGGAAGACGGCCACTCCGTGGGCGAAGAACACCCGAGGACGGGGACACCTGTTGATGGAGGGACCGACGCCGGAGGGTACGACGCTGCTAGCAGCGCAAGTGGTATTAGGGACCACGGAGGGGTCGACGGGGAGGACAACAAAGAGAGCTGGCAGAGGGGGTAAAAGGAAGGTCGACTAATAGCCCCTTCCCCTGGCAAATGCCGAGCGGTCCGCGCTAGCGGTCGTCGAGCGGTCGGCCTCCGTGAGCGATCGGTCCCGTGGGCCATCTCAATGGCACGCGCTGCGGACCAAATCGAGCGTAACGCTCCCAGCGCCACCGCTTCCAGAGAGTCTGCTCTCGCTTTTGAACAGTTGCGGTTCCCATTGCTATTTTGCTGAAAGCATGAAGTTCTGATTGGAACTTTATGCTTTCACAAAAAAGTGATTGTTTACTACTTGATTAACGGTGACCCCGACGTTAAGACGCAATTTATTTTTCCTTACAGTTATATAAGTCCGATGAAGGCAACTAGAAGTACTTGTACGAGTCGTAAAATGATATTAAGCACGTATGCCCCTAAAGCGATCGTCATCTCCGAAGGCGACTTCCATCTGCGGAGTATTTGGAGTGTTGTATTCTAATTATTCCAATTACATTACAGAGACCACAAAACGAACAAACGACATATACCTATAGCTCTTCATCCGAATTGGTGCGCACAACGCCCTCGACGTAACGCGGTATCTTGGGCCTCTTCGCTGGCCAGCCAAACGACTCGGCAAACACTTCGCCGAGAACGGCTGCCTTGTCGTCACTCGAGCTGGAGCTAAGCTGGTATCTTTGTCGCTGTCACTGCGTTTTATTAGACCTCCTGAAATTAATTGCAACGATGTCATCGCCACAGTATGCTCGGGCGAGTCGGTCATGACGAGGGAAACGAAAACAAGCACACCAAGAAAGCCCAACCAGCAATCGAAACAGAAAAGTCGCGAAACACCTTCACTCTGTCGATAACGAAACTGAAACGTTGCGAGAGACGAATACAGATCGCGCTGCTCCGAAAAAGGCTGTGCGGAGAACTCTACACCGGACCGCTCGCCGCGCTCCGCCACTTTTCCACGGAGCGGTTGGAGCCGCTCGGCGAGCGCCCCACTGGCTCCAGATCTACAAGCGGCACACGGAGAGATTGCTCTCATCTGGCGAGGGAAACAAGAATCCGCTCGGCAAGCGCGCGCCGAGCGCTCGCTATTGGCCAGGGTAAGGGGCTATACGAAAAAACCGGGCACTTGAAGGCCCCCACCCCCACCCGCCATCCTCATCGACCTTAGCCGACACCGTGACCGCTCCAGGCGCCCGTCAGAATGTTCCCTCAAGAAAGGGGGGGGGGGGGGGGGTGGAGTTTCTGCCACCGACTTCTCACTTCCCTACTCGTGCCTTACGATCATGGACCTTACCAAAACAGCAGTCATTACAGACATCGCGAGCGGGGCATCCCTGTTGACGGGGTAAGCATAAAGTGCCCCTGCTGGCTGTGTTTCGGGATTACCTTATTATCGGGGCTAAATTTTTTTACCTGTTCTTTATGTCTTATAACAACAGCAATGCTTATCCCCTGCCCAATGAGGTGGGGAAACTGTATACGAAGCGCTCACGTGCGCCCTTTAGTTTTTTTCATTTAAACGCACAATCCATTCGAAATAAGCATGGTGACCTAATCATCGTTTTAAAAGGACTCAAATTTCTTTTCGATATAATTATGTTGACTGAAACGTGAGCTGACGAGAAAACTGATGTTCCAATTTTAGAACCATACAAAACGTATTCCGTAAACCGCTCTTCACAGCGAGGAGGCGGTGTTTGTATGTATGTAAAAACTAATCTTTACTGCACCGAAATTAGCGACTTCACGACATTGCAACGCGATTATGAAGTTTTAACAGTCAAACATTCGAAGTGCACGTACTGCGTGATATATCGCCCTCCGAATGGTGATATTTCTTGTTTCCTAAAGTTCATTGCCGATTTGCTTGTGTTTATTGGTGAAAATAATCTCACTTTGTTCTTGGGTGGAGACTTAAATCTGGATATGCTCTCTTCATCATCGAGACAGCTAGATTTGTTCTCCTTATATCAGTCGTACGGATACTTTAACCCAATTTTTAAACCATGCGAAGAACTCCTTTGAAAGATACATCACTTGATTTGTTTCTTACAAATGCCGACGAATCTCACGTGTCCCGAGGTGCCATTGGAATTTAGAACCACGATAAGGACCACCTACCAATTTATATGCTTGTCGACTCGAAGGTCGGGATACAAAAGAATGGAGAAGACTGCCCAGTTTATTATCGAAATATCACTGCAGAAAATCTAGATGAATTCGAAGCTGAGATTTGGAGTGCTGATTAGAGCACGGTTTTGTCTTGTGTTTCAGCTGACGAGGCATATGATTACTTTATTGGGATTTTTACAAAGATATATGAAAAGAGTTTAAACTTTTTTCATATAGAAAACAAAAAACGTACAAAAAACAACCAACGGCTCGAAAGTCGTGGGTGACAAAGGAGATAATCAAAATGAAAAGTAAAAAAGACGCTCTCCACAACAAATTCGTTAAATGCGGAAAACCAGATGTGGTGGCATTATTTAAAAAGCAGCAAAATGCTGTGACAAGGGCTTTACGCAAGGCTAAGTGTACGTATTTTTATGCTGCGTTTGAAAATGAGCAACGAATAGATATTATATGAAAGAAACTTAACTCATTTCTGCGACGTGGCCCTTTCGAATCTACAGCGATGAAGCTTAACATCGAGGGGGAGACGAGAGGTGGTTTGGCGTTGGCTGAAATATTTAATCACTATTTCATAAACATTGTATAGATAGGTAACGCTGCCGATGAATTTCCGTTTGTGAAAGGTGTCTCTGACACACTTTTTCTTGCCCCCACCGACGCGAACGAAGTGGCATCAGTTTTTATGAACCTCGGAAATAGCAAAAGTACTGACATAGATGGTGTTCACATCAAACCTCTGAAACATGTAATTAAATCAATTGCTCCTCTTTTAACACATATTTTTAATTTGGCACTTCAAAATGGCCATTTTCCTAGAAAAATGCAAGTTTACGGATATTTTAAAGTCTGGGGGTAAAAACCACCTGGGAAATTATAGACCTGTTTCTGTGCTCCCAATGTTTTTAAAGGGGCTAGAGGAAATAATACATGCCAGATTATACATCTTCTGCGAAAAACACTCCATCCTAACATCTTGCCAGTTTGGTTTTAGGAAGGAGTTTTCGATGGAACTAGCGCTATTAAAACAGAAGGAACTAATTTTAAACAACATCGAAAGAAAATTGATTACTTTGGGGTTTTCATTGATTTTTCAAAGGTTTTCGACCGTCTAAATTATAAAACTCTACTTCAAAAATAAACGCATGTGGGGTGCGAAGAGTAGCCTCAACAATGATCGAGAGTTTTTCTCTTTTTTTTTTTAAATATCGGTACATAGTGTGTCGTTATCAATAATCAGCGCCCTAGCTTAAACAAACTGACGTCCGGGGTGCCACAAGGGAGCATCCTTGGACCCCTTCTGTTTTACTTATACATCAATGATATAGTAAATATAGACGACAGTGCAGATTTTATAATTTACGCAGACGACACAAGTTTATTCTTTTCGGGGAAAGTTGTCCACCAGGTTTTATGTGAGGCAAATAGCGTTTTGTAGAAGATAGGTGACTGGAAAATCTCAAACTCTTTAGTAATTACTACATATAAGACGAAAGCAATACTTTTTCGATCCAAAAATACAGTGTTTCCATCTACTCAAGTGCTCCCTCTCCCAGGACGATATATTGACTTTGCACAAAATGTGAAGGCTCTTGGTGTGATATAATGAGTACATGAGCTGGGACGCCGAAGTACAATATACAGCTGGCAGTCTTTCAAAAGTTGTGAGCATTATTTATAAATCCCCTCTTATATTACCCCTTTCGGTCTTAATTCTTCATTATAACTCATCTTTTACTCTTGCTATAATTACCGCTTCCTTGTTTGGGGTAGCACAACGGCTACAAATATGCATCACTTGCATGTTCTCCAGAAGAGAATATTTCGAATTATGTCCAATGCGGAGTCCAACGCTAACACATTACAACTTTTCAAAAAGCTGCATGTAGTTCCAAATACAGAGCATTATAATTATGAACTTCTTACATATCAAACGTCTGTAAAGGAAAATCAACTTGTTTTTCTATCAATCGCCAATATGCAGCGGAGAGCGCCTGCATATGCAGGCCGTCGTGTTAACACATGGTCAACGGCTCGCTCGAGAACAGGCTATGGCCTCCAGATGTTGCAGTACTCGTTGCCTAATGTTATGAACAAAACACAGACTGGGCACGGAATTGGTGAGTTTGAGCAGAAAGGATATTCGTTCATTGTTTCTCTAGTGTTATTTGTGCCTATTCTTGATGGGACCTCCAACCTGAAAAAAATGTTCGTAATGTACGCGAAATATCTTTGTTTTTGTTTAATGTTGAGTGTTTTGATCCTATGTAAACCTTATTCTACGGGTGACTAGTACGTAAAATAGTTTCTCTCGTTGCTGGTGGGGAGGAGAAACTCTGTCAAGCGACAGCAGTCTGTTTTGTTTTTCTTCCTCCCCCTCTCCCCTGGAGAGAAACAATAAAGTTGAAGTGGAAGTTGAAATGTCGTCACAGGGACATACTTCGATCCCCCAGCTACTTCATCAAGTTTTGCGAAGGGAAGATTGAAAGAAAACACTTGCTTTTGTCCTTGAGATGACACCGCAAAAAGGAATTTCTTGGCCAATGGTGTTGCGTTCTAGTGTACTCGTGTCCCGCTAGTGCCAGTTAGCTCCCGTAAAGTAAAAACAAAAAAATCAGTCGAAGCGAATATTTTTACTTGGCCCCTTTAAATATGATGAGCAATGACTGAGCATCCGCAGTCCCGGCAACGGTGCATTACATCTCCAGAATTTGCTTTTTGATCTTGTTGCACTTTCTTAAACGGTCATTTACACATGTTCCCATTTGTCCCATATATATTTCGACCGAGATCAGCAGACGTAAAAAAAAACAAAAAAACTGCACTATTATAAGCAATAATTTTCAAGAACTCAAGCGCGAAAATATTGAGCCTGGGGACATTGTGAAGCTTGACGAAAATTGTGATAGTAATCCTTTTGTAATCAAGGCTTAGAAGGAGTTGATTCCCCTAGCAACAGAGAGAACATAACGAAGTGTGGTAGATATACAAACCGCGCGTAGAAGTCCAAATACAGCACAGAGTTCATAGTCAGTGCTGATTGAGTGACCTCAATCCCAAACTGAAAGCTTAGGACCTTACAGTCCTACCCACACTGGTCTTCACCTCAACCGTAAACGGTGACCTCAATCCCAAATTGAAAGCTTGGGACCTATATCCACAGGAAAAGGGAAATAAGCCTGCTTCCGGAATTATCAATGAAAAAACAGTGAGTGCGCAGGCGAGCTGGTGGATGTTAACATCCACCAGCTCGCCTGCGCACTTACTGTTTTTTCACTGATTGAGTGGTTCCTTTTTAGAAGTGCACGTGTTTCTGTGTGAATGGTTCTTCGCTGTAAATTATAAGTACGAATAGCCAAATTGTCTATCTTAAGAAGTTATATGCCAGTAACAAATTCATAACAGTTTTGTGAAAGGTTAGGTGCTAGATCGCTCTGGCCAACATTTTTCTTTATGGCGCTAAGCTCCCATGTTTTGCGTAAATATCTAGAAGGTGAGAACTTGGCGAGAACTACCTTCAATATGGCGTATTCAAGGCTAATATAGTTATCACCTTCGTTTAAAAAGAACATCCTTTTCGTGGCGTCTCACGGAGCTGTTTTATAATCATTATCGCCTGCAAAACAAACATTTCAAGGGCTCTTAGGCAAGTAAACAGATTAAAAAGGCTCAAGGAAAGACATGTAAAGTTATCTAGAGTACTGGTGTTTTTTCCTGAATAGCTGAAATCCCTAAAAATGCTTCAGAGCCCTAGAATCTACAGCGCAAACAAACAAAAAAAAAATATACATATGGAAGAGTTCGTTTGTTTTAAACGGTTTCCTTTTTTTTTTTTTTTTTTGGTGTGTGGTTCTCAATTCTAACAGGCTTCGCAGAACTCGCTGTTCTCCAGCACCCTTATTTCTGCAACCTTTACTTGACACTTCTTAATTATCAATTCCTAGTTTATCACACGCAAGCCTAACGTTACGAAACGAAGAACGAAATAATTATTATTTTGGCGCTTCTAAATGACGTTTGTGCTGGGACACTATTAATGTTTATACAGTTCAGACTGAATATACGCTCGTTTTGTCGACATTTACAACAGCATAAATTGCGCGATTCGAAAGAGAACCGCTTACTCTACGTATGTATAATAAAGTACCTCGTCTGAACACCTCTTCGAATCGTGATGAGCAACAAGCACCGCTTTCAGTATCTGCATAAATTCAGAAGCCTGTGCCCCTAAAATGACACCTAAAATAAAAATCGTCATCCCTTGTATATCCACGCAGCGTGACGTAGCTAGGGTCAGAGTGGTCGCCAGTGCGTGTGGTCTCATAAGGAGTGCGACGCTAACACACGAGGACGCAAAGATGGACGCGTCAGCCGCGGCGACTCTAGGAAAGCTTCAGCGTGCACGGCTTTGGGCGGGATGCAAGGATGTCATGCTCAGGCCTTGTCTTCTAGGTGACGGGTAACGCCGTTGGTGCCGCTCCTCCTGCAGGCAAAGCCCCGGCGCTGGGCGTGCCCTGCACGTACGAGTTCTGCGATCGGAGCGGCGTGTTCTACAGCCAGGGCTTCCCGGGGCCCTACCCGAACCAGATGTCGTGCACGTACCGCGTGCTGGCGCTTCCGGGCCACTGCCGGGTAGAGCTGTCCTTTGTCCAGTTCAACCTCGAGTCCCACAAGAAGCCGGACGGCCAGTGCGGCGCCGACTTCATGGAGATCAACAACGTCCGCTACTGCAACCGACAGCTGGAGGGCCAAATAAGTGAGCGCTGCTCACACTTGTACGCTACTCCTTAAGAGCAATCAAAGTACTCCTAATCGATTGATATTTTTGTAAATAATTTTTTTTATATTAATACCATAAGGTAATCACAAGACTAACCTTCGGAAGTACTCGTAACCATTACTATCTTTCCTCGCCTTTTTAATGGCTTTCTTTGTTTCTACAAGTTGCAAGCCACGTAAAATTTGGATACATGTCTCCGCCAGCAGGATGGTCTACCAAACTTGGGGGACTTAAAAAAATAAGTACCTCGTAATTCGGTGATTCTTCTAGAATAAAGGACATTACGAAATGTCCGTTTTCAAAACAACGTAAAATATGCCGCTTTTGAAAACTTAATCAATAATAAAAAGTAACGATAACAATTAAATTACCGATCAATTACTTTTCATCTTAAGTAATCATGTAATATGTCCTTTTTAACTGAGAGTAATTGTAATTATAAATCGGTTACTTTATTTCGAGTGTATAAGACTGGCGCTGGGCCCGTGTTCTCGCCACTCTCGAGCTCCGTTCGGGACCGCGGCGCCGGATTGCAAACGGGCAACAAACCATGTACTCGCTCTTGGAACGTAGTACTTTTCAATGGGGATGCCCAATTTAGCTTAGAAACGGTGCGTGCATCAATGTTTTACGGCGATAGTCATAACTGGCAACGTTTCGTAACGGATCTCGCGTGTGTACGTCGTGGCCCACTAAAATTTGGGATTTGAATCTCTCCGTTAAATACAGCGGAGAATCAGTGTCCCGACATTGCAACGTCACAGTATCACTTTACGTGAGGTTCCATTACGTCACAGTTTTCTTGTTGAATCTAGCGGAGACATTTTTCCGCTAAATTCGCCACTGTTAACGTGGAATATCTACACTACATTTATCCGCCAATGAAGAAGGAACCTGCCTTTTGGCAGGTTCCTTCTTCATTGGCGGATATGGCAGTGCTGTCAAGAGTACGAGGGTGCGGGTTCTAACAGCGATTTAAAATAGGCGCGCGCTTTCCTTCATTTTTCAAAGATACCAAACTAAGTTTTCCCCGAGCATGACCCCAATGGCCACCTCATCAATGCTTATGTAAACGAGACTGGCGGATATAGTCTGCTTATATCTTTGTAGCAGTATGTGCGAGTCTGAACTACTATAGATATGAATGTATAAGAGGCACGCAGCCAGGATTTCTGCTTCAGGGGGAGGGGGGGGGGGGGCCGCCCATGACAAAATGCTGTATGAGGGGGAGGGGGGAGAGGAGGTCCCAGCAAAATAGAAGATCTCGGGGGGGGGGGGGGGGGGGGGGGCCCACTTTTAGAGCGCAGCTCTTAGGCGCCCGTTTCCGTCTTGAGCGGCGTCGCCGTCGGCGTAACCGCGCGGTGCATTATGGGTAAATTTCTCCGCTATATTTAGCGGAAAAATTTCCCCGCTAAATCTAGCGGAAAAATTTCCCTGCTAAATCTAGCGGAAAATTCCACGCTAAACCACGCGGAAAATTTTCCCCGCTAAATCTAGCGGAAAAAATTTTCCCGCTAAGTCTAGCGGAAAAATTTCCCCGCTAAATCTAGTGGAAAAAATTTTCCCGCTAAATCTAGCGGAAAAATTTCCCCGCTAAATCTAGCGGAAAAATTTTCCCGCTAAATCTTGCGGAAAAATTTCCCCGCTAAATCTAGCGGAAAAATTTCCCTGCTAAATCTAGCGGAAAAATTCCACGCTAAACCTCGCGGAAAATTTTCCCCGCTAAATCTAGCGGAAAAAAGTTTCCCGCTAAGTCTAGCGGAAAAATTTCCCGGCTAAATCTAGCGGAAAAAATTTTCCCGCTAAATCTAGCGGAAAAATTTCCCCGCTAAATCTAGCGGAAAAATTTTCCCGCTAAATCTTGCGGAAAAATTTCCCCGCTAAATTTAGCGGAAAAATTTTCCCGCTAGAACTAGCGGAAATTTCCCCGCTAAATCTAGCGGGGAAATTTCGGTCACGTGACAGGGGGGGGGGTCACGTGACCTGGGGAGTCACGTGACCCCTCCACCTAGGTCACGCGACACCCCCAGGTCACGTGACCCCCTCCCGAGGTCACGTGACCTCAGAGGGGGTCCGTGACCCTCTCCTTTATGTCCCGTGACCCCCCCTCCGCCTTCACGTGACCCCCCCCCCCCCCCGCCTGAGAACACGTGGCCCTCAGTACCCTTCCTTCCTCCTCCTCAAGAGCTGCGCTCCGATTCGGCGTAAACGGCTTTCACTTTTTTAAGAGTTCAAATAAATATGAAAGACGTTTACAACACCCTGTAACGCCGAATTAGAGCGCAGCTCTTGAGGAGGAGGAGGGAAGGGTACTGAGGAGAGGGTTCACCCCTCCTCTTCGCCTCCTCACCTCCTCATTCTCTCTACTACTCCTCCTTCTCGTCCTCCTCCTCCCCATTTGCTCCCTCCTCTCCTCCTCCCCTCTCCCCTTCTCCTCTTCTCCCTCCTCCCCCTCCTCCTCCTCCTCCCCATTCTCCTCCCCTCCTTCTCGTCCTCCTCCCCTTCTCCCGCGCGTTGCATTATGGGAAATGTCCCATAACCCACCGCGCGGGACCCCCGTGACGTCACGATGGTCCCGCATGGTGCATTATGGGACATTTCTCATAATGCACAGCGCGGTTACGCCGACGCCACTCAAGTCGGAAATGGACGCTTAAGAGCTGCGCTCTAAAATATAATATTCTAAAACCTAGACTGGTACAGAATGCTGCGACACATTATCGAATTGATAACGACGATCTTTGTTAAACACAAAATAATAATTAAACACCTATCAAATTTTATAGCTAATATTCGTACCCTCAATGCTTTGAAAAAGTTATACCATGCATACACCAACAGTCTCAGATGTGCCGATGCTATAACTGGCTCTACATCATAGCCCAACATTCTACAATCTATGCTCATCTGGCTCCTGCTTGCTGGCCCGGCCGGCGAGCACCTCGTGTGCTATGTACACCAGCGCACATGATATAGGTGCTGCAGAAAAAAAATTATAAGTCTTAGGCTATTTCATCTGCCTGCGTCATATCCCTTCAAATGCTGATATCTATGTTTATATTTTGTCAGGAATTCTGGATTTCAAGGACTCTCCTCGGAGCATTACGATGCATTTCATCACGAACGACCACAACGCCGGGAGAGGATTCTTGGGCTTCTACAAGCAGCTGGCATGTGAAGGACACAATCGTAAGATAGTTCTTGTTCACCGGAATTAGTTTATCTACAGTCGTCTAGGTCGATCATTTATTTATCATGAAGGCCTCCTCACACATACACCAGAGCACTTCCTCGGCGCATATGTCAGTGCTAAAATTAGCGCTCACCTTGCTGACGCAGCGTTCACTTTGCGCTAGATTAGTTATGCGTTTGAAGGGTAAAGGCGTCAGCATAACACGCACGAAAGACGTACGACAAAAAAAGACGCTACCTACAATTGATTTTATTGAAGAAACAGGCACTTGGCCAGACTGTCGTTCACCTTACCAATAATAAGCCATAAACCGATCACATATCGGCAGTCTTTTATGAAGCCATGTAAAGAAGAGATTTCCTTAGCCACCAGAAAAATATAGGGTATGCTGACACAGTTTTCACTAGCGTTCTTGATAAAGTAAGCTTGTGGGGATGAAGTTATTCACAGTGCCAAGCCACTAAAGATCCGATGCCCTAAGAGCACTTCCACCGCGCGGCCACGCTACCACGAGAACGGTGGTCGCGCCGGCTTTGTTCGCTGACTGCAGCGAGTAGAAGTAGCAACGTCGTATCTCGTTTTTTGTCAAATTTGTAAATTACGCCGACGACACAACGCTACTTATCTCGGCCGAGGATCGCGACGTGCTAGTGGACATTGCAAATCTGACGCTGTCGAGATTAGAAATTTGGAGCCGGGAAAATTCCTTAAAAATTAACATAAACAAACTGAAGCCGTACTTTTTCGCACGAGAAATAAATCGATTGGAATAATGAGAGATATTACTCTTAACACAACCCCAATTGAGATTGTGAGCAATTTTAAGGTTTTGGGAGTGATCTTTTCTGAGAATATGTCCTGGGATAATCACACGAATTATATAATTCCCAAACTGTCACGAATAGCTGGATTGATATATCGCCATCGATCAATTTTGCCAACGAATGTGAAATTACTAATCTAAACTTCTCCTGTTTTATTCGTATTTAAATTATGGCCATCTTGTTTGGGGCTTAACTAAATTATCGAACCTTGAGAAGATATGTTTATTACAAAAAAAAAAAAAAAATACTGAGGTCCATCGGCGGCGTCTTGTTTGACTCCCATACAGCCGGTCTGTTCAGGGCTTTCCGCGCTATTAATATATACAATTTATACAATTATAGACAGTAATATGTTTAAAACGGAAAATAATAGAAATACACGTTTCCTTACAAATTTGGCTAATCTTTATCTAAAAGAACCGGTTTACCCCCCTCGTCATGCACACTTTTGGGAGATGGTGGCTCGCAGAACAAATTCCGGCTCCCAGATGGTTCGATATACGTTGCCCAAATTGCTGAACCAGTTAGAAGACAGTGAACTGGAATTGAATAGAATATCACCAAAACAACTTAGAGAATATTTCATGGGCTTAGATAGGTAAATTAGCAATGATTTCATCTTTCATGAAATATTTTTTTTAAATATTTTTTAATATATATATTTTTTTTTATTCTTTGTTTGCTTAGTACGTATTTTGTGCTTGTATAGGGTCCTCTCGTTTCACCTTGAACCATGTTTTGATATGGAAAATATTTTTTTGTATGTGTTTTTTTTTTCTCCTGTGCCTCTGCTATTTCGCGTTTGTAGGAGGTCGAGGACCTTTTCAAGGCTGTGCTTTACAGCTTTTTTTCTCGACCTCCGCCATTAGTGCTGATGGGAAATAAACTTACTTACTTACTTACTTAAATGGCCACAGCAACGGTCGTGAACGTCCACATTGTTATTATGGCATGTCTACTCATCCGCTGAAAAATTAAAATAACAAATAATCCAGGTAAGCAAATATTAATAAATCGAACCATTAAAACGACCGCTCTGGTCATGATTTTTGATGCTTTGAACTTGCAAACAGCCGCTACCAGACACTTGAATTGTTTAAAATTCTAGGACGTTTTAAGGAATGGAGCGATCACTTCACAGGAAATACGCCAATAGACAGCGTAGAAAATTATTCATTCCACCGATTGTTATGAAGGCCAATTGCATTGTTGTCTCAGCTTTTTAGCACTGTCAGTTCAGCTCAACAACATGCTACGAAATACTTTTTAGGGTACTGCCGATGCTAACTCAATTTTACTGTAGAAGTAGGACCAGAACCCGCCTAGTCCGCTCAGGCGTGGAAGGAGCAGCCCGTCGCGTCGACCGGTTTTTCAAGGGAGGAGGAAAAAAGCCTCCCCAAACGCGATGTGAGATATAGCGAGGCAAAGGGAAAAACGGGTTATACGGTCCCAATAACGCTTGCGTGCGAGGACGTGAAGAGGCAAAGATTGCGCAATTGCGATCATATCGAAGTTGTTTAAGGAGGATTCTCCCATCTTCCGCTTCTTAAAACCTTCGGTAGCCCAAACAGAACGCCTACCAGCTATCGTGAAGCGCAGTACCTGCACGCTGGCCATACAGGTGCCAGTCGCGCTCACACGTGCGAAAGAATTGGTGCAAATTTGGTCCAAAAGCCAGGGGTAGCCATAATCAAATAAGTTTACACTGGCTTAACACAACAATAAAAAAATATGACAACAACACAGACGTTTCGCCACCTATCTGGGTGGCATCATCAGTGTGAACTGGCCCGGTAGTGGGGAGAGTCAAAACCGGTCGACTCTAATCTAACAAGTCCCCGTAAACGTCCGGTAGGGGGCCTCGGTTTGTGTTGCACGGCTTGGGGTCCCGGCGAATAAACCACGATTCCACGAACTTCTTTCGGGCCCCAACGGTGCTCACGAGCCAAGGTCGCCGCATTGTCCAAATCAAACGTATGCCCAGTCGTCCAGCTGGTACACCACACCTGTCTGGGCGTCGGCGGGGGTGATGTCTTTCGGCTTGGAGAACGCGTTCGCCAAAGTGTACGGAGGCTTGAACACAGTCCGGATTCCCAAAGGTATCAAAGCTCTTCTAATCGAGTTCGAGGTTCCCCGGACACAGGGAATACACACTATCGGCCTCCTTTTGTCTCCAGTGTCTACTCTCCACTGTTGCATGCGCCTACGGGTGTCACTTATGAAGGATCCTGTATAATTGCGCCTGCCCAAGGAATGGGCCTTTCCCGGGGTTTCCACGGCGCATGCGCGGCAGCAGCAGACAGGAATCTGCCATTTTTGGTGGCGTGGTACGTCCGGCTCGGGGCTGCAGGAGGCAGCGGTGGTCGCGCGTTTTGAAGATCTCCTACAGGCCCTAGCGCTGTTTCGTTGTTGGCTGCAGCAACGACAGCAAGTGTTGTCGCGGTTTAGCTTCTTTGGGTTTCCTTCTACTAGACTGCGCTCGACGAAGCGGCAGCTCTGGATTCGGGCGATCCAGCGATACGATTCGGACGGCTCGTAAAGGCAGCCTTCAAAGCACTCCCGCGTTTGCAGTTGCCACTTCAAGGAAGGTTCATGTTTTTGTTCCTTTATTTTTTATTTGTTTGCGAATACAAGTCAGCAGATTGGTTAGGTATGCTGTCGTGTCGCTTTTGTGCTACGCAGAGCGAGTGCCTCGGAGTTGGCGTCTCTGGGATAGTGCGTTTCACTGGCACACTTTTTTGTTTATCAATGTGACGGTCTCGCGTTGTTACGCAAACTGCCTGTCTGCTTTCTGGTTGTTGTAAACATTGGAATAATCCACAGTGTTCAGATATTTATAAGGCATTGAGGTAAAATGGCTATGCTGCACAGTTTGTTGCTACGTGCACACACAGAAAGTGAAATGGGAGAGGATTTATCGCTACCACTACCGCATCTGCTGGTCTTGTGGTTAAATAAGAAAGCGGAAAAAATAGCCTTGATGTGTTGTCCTCGTGTATGTATCGAAAAAACAAAGAATAAGTTTGCAGCATTGTTTACAGGCGCGGAACTAAAAATAAAGAAAAAAAAAGTGTGGCCGATTTTCTGTTTTGTCTTCAGGATTTACAGTCACACACAGCTGTAGCCTGAAGTGGGGTGACATCAATGACGAGGCTCGCCCAGAAATCGGTGGCTGAACGTATTAGTGCTAGATATTTATTAAACATGTATTTTAGCGGTGAATTTGTCCTTGTGAAATTTCAAAGTGGTACTTTTTTCCAGTAAATAACGAGACCAACAAACTCGCCAGGGTCAGCGGCGCTTGTAAACGCCATTTAGTATAGTCGCTGAACAAGTCCGCCGTTGTCCCGGCCAAGTTTGTTGGTCTCATTCGATAATGGAAATGGAGCTAAGCGTTCAAATTTCACAAGGTGAAATCCACCACTAAAATAAACCTTTGATGAGAATTACGTTGGTACGTTCAGGCGCCGGCGTTTTTCGGACGGTTTAGAGTAAGCTTTTACATTTATGAGCATTCGTCTTACCAATTAAAATTTTTGAGCAAATTAAACAAAATAGCTTGCAATTGAAAAAAAAAAAAGGCTTTCCTTAACTGTAACTTAGTCTCGAGTATTTTCTAAATTTACTGCCGATACTGCATATGACATGAATCCTAGTTTAATGTAACCGTTTGTACTTCCTCATAGGTCGAAGAGAGCTTCAACGGTGTCGTCAGTCACAACGGACGCCACGGCGAAGTCAGTCGTCCATTCTTTCGGCAAAAAAAAATGTAAAAACGGACGAAGTCGTCCGTAGTTAACGCATTAATTCAAAACAAATCTGCTCGTCGATTGTACTGGATAGAGGAAAAACAAACGCTGGGCACTGAGCGCATTTCCCGACCATGTTCAGACAGCCAACATATGGCGAATTCGTGTGGTGCTTTCTGCGCGCTCTCGAGCGCTCTTTCCAGAGCGCGCGAAATCGAGTAGTTGAAAGAGCCCAGGCAGCACAAAACGTCGTGGAAACGTCGAGAAAAAGTCCAGGACGTCCATGACGTCCCGCATGACTTCGATCACGTTTTTTCGATGTTGAGGTGACGTCCTTATATAACGTTCCATTAGGGTCCAATCAGTGACGTTGTGACGACGTGGTATTTCAACTCAAACTTCGTCAACGTTCCCACGACGTCG